AATAATCAACTAGTTTTTTGAGTTTACTCAGTATGTAAAAAACTGTATAAGCAATTAATGTTTGCCCATAATTATTATTTTCATATACCAAATAATGAAAATAGAGAGAAAAAGTACAGAAAACACCATCATGACACAATGATATCTGCAGGTCCTTGGTTTAATTAACCACATTTGACAAACATTGGTTAAAGACACATGTTACATGTGCATGTATGTATCATGTATGTGTGGTGTACATATATACATGCAAAGGGTTCAAAAATTTATTAATTTTTCTATAGCTTATTCTGTTTAATTTAATTATCATTTAATTTATGTTGTTTTATATTTTCAAAAATATGATTAATTGCTTCATTTTTTTTTTTTTTTATTTTTCGTGCAGATGTATCGAACGGTGAAATCGACTGATCATAGAGCTGCTGCTACTTCAGGTTCAATGCACAAAATATTAATATTTATTGTGTTAATTATATGTTGTTTTTTTAAGAAATATTTATTACTAACATTATTTTTTTATTTAATTTATTATTTTTAATTAATTTTTGGTATATTTTTATTAGGACAATCTGATGTACTGGAAAATGGGTCTTCTGGAGATACCTCAGATGATTTACTATTTGACATTCAAAATTTGCATAAATCTGAAGCATTATCTTCCCAACAAAGAAGACAAAATATTATGAATAATATTGATAAGGATCACAATGGTCCATGGAGCAATTCTTCAAGGTAATACAAAATTACCTACTCAGAAAATTATAATTCTTTATTTCATTTAATTATTATTATTATGGTAATTAGTCATGTAATATTAGTGTTGGGCAGCAAAATTCATTTGTCTCAATAAAAAAAATAAATTATATAATAATTATTACAGCTAAATTTCATCTTTTAGTCCTCTATGTTGGTCATTTTCCGAAAAAAAAAAATCCATCATATATGGTGCCATCAATAATCGTCCACTAAGTTGCCACTTTAATCAAAACTTGTACAATATCCAATATAGTGTACTAAAAATGACGATCACTTTTAGTACACTATCTTGATTTTTGTATGAATTTTAATAATAATGGCAACCTAGTGGATCATTCTTGACGGCACCCTATATGATAGATCTTTTTCAGAAAATGGCCAAAATAGTGGACCATTTATGAAATTTTGCCTAATTTATTACTAGTAACTTCATTCATATTCTATGTCTTTTAATTTGTCAAAAAATTGAAAAATTTTGATCAAGTAGATGTCAATTTTGTCCATTGACTTATGTAAAAAATGTCCATTGATCCAAGTTTTTTTTTTTTTTTTTTTTTTCTTACCTTAGCTGGTGAGCATAACTTTTCTTGCTCAAAGTTTATTTATGGAAAGTCTTTGGAAACCTAACTCCATAACTGTTTAGACAGCTTTCTCTGTAAACATTTTCAAAAAAATAAAAATAAAAATAAATAAATAAATAAACATTTAATCAGATCACAATAACTACAATTGTAGGTGGGTGGTGGAATTTAAGGAAAAGTGAACTAAAGTATAAGACTGTGAAATGATACGGTCCCGTTACGGAACTATTCCGTCGAAATTTATAGCCGTTAGATCATCGTGTAACTCTCGTGAATAAATGATCTAACGGTTACACATCTCAGTGGAATGGTTCCGTAACGGGACCGTATAATCTCCCTTATTATTTGATCCTATTTTGAATTCAAGACTGGATAACTTAATTAGCTGCATCTATTCATTTATTCAAAATTAAAAAAAAAAAAAAAAATCCCATTAAATAAAAAACCAATTGTAGCAATGAAATTTGCATTAAATAGTGAAAAGGGCAAGAGAGAAAGGCATTGAAATTACTGCCTAGTCTGGCTTTTTGACAGCCTATTCATCAATAATTGTTACTATACATCATGGACAAGTGATGTTAAAAATATTTGTAAATGTAAAAGAAAAAAAAATTATATATGTTATGTTTGTTAAAAGTAGCTGATAAGCTAGCTTATAGCTTATCAGTAATTTTCGAGTTCATACCATGCTTATCGCTTATAGCTAAAAATTTAGGTTATATCGTAAAAGTGTTTGGTAAAACTAGTTGATACGCTATCTGAAATAAAAACTTTCGACGAGCATATTTGAAAAGTTACAAAAGAAGCTTATGACATAAGCTCGAACTTTGTAAATAAAATCGTCCTACAAAACGAAGTTTATTTAAATATAAGAAACTTATAAGCTAACCAAATAAGCTATAAACAGCTTATTTGTCTACCACATAAGCTAACATTATTGACTTATAAATCAATATAACTCTTTCTATTGGATTTTGTGGGTTCAATTTTGCCATTGAAACTTTTTTTTTTTTTAATTTTTTTGAGTTACATTATATGCTTGGTTACTAATGCTCTGTCACAGTGTCACGTGAGTGGGTTATCACTTTATTTTTTGTACCAAAGACAGAATAAAAGAGTTGTGTGGAGAAAGCATAATACATTAATTAAAAAAAAAAGAGGGTTTTCTTTGGGAAATGTCATGGTCTCGTTATAGAACCATTCCGTCAATGTTTGATCTAACGGTTACTAACCCCGATAGAATGGTTCCGTAATGAAACCGTAGCATTTTCCTTCTTTTATTTATATCATTATACTACCTAATCTTGAATAAATAAATAAATAAATAAATGCACTTATTTTGTAACAGGGAAGCTTGGATGCATAAGAGAGCAGGGGATAATGAAGTAGGCAACTTACAATCCATTGAGGTAACTTTTATTTAATAATAATAATAATAATAACAATAACAATAATAATAATAATAATAATAATAATAATAATAATAATAATAATAACAATAATAATAATAATAGTGCCCTTGTTGCTCATGTGTTGATGATATCCATGTGTGTAATAAAGCTAAAGATTAAAAGCTATATAGTAAAAGCCAAACAAAGATCTTCATAGAAAATTGATATAATTTGCTTTTGCTAAAGGTAAAAGAGGTTTGCAACACAAGGGCCAATACTTGTTAATTTGCACTATACTCCACTTTTATTACAATATTCATACCTCGTACCACTTGTGAAAACCATTTATATATATTGTTAGAGTTCTTCATGAAACTTTTAAAATTTTTAGAACATATATATATATATATGAACAATAACATATGATACATGCATTCATATATACACACTTAATTTCTCATGTATTTACTTAGCATGCACGTAAAAAGGGTACGGAACCAAATCGCCCGAGCAATTATGAGAGAACATCACAAGCTTTGAGCCCATCATCATCGAGTCTATCACGAACAAGCACGAAAGAGAAGCCTAATCTGGAGTTCACTCTCGGCGGGCCTCTGTGATTAAAAAAGTCTCGAGTATTCGGGAATACGCATAAGATCACTAGTTATAATTGAATGAACATAAAATCAACATGGTAGAAAAGGAATTAAAAAAAAAAAAGAGAATGTGATTAAAAGGAAAAGTGAGGTTTAGAGGTAAAGAAAGGCAAAAGGAGACAAGAAAGCAAAACATAAGGGAGTGAAAAAAAAAAAAAGAAAGAAAAGAATGTGATTGATGGCAATTAAATATTCCCTTGAGTAAATATGGAAAATCTAAATGATTTTGTGCTTTTATGCATTTTGGGAAAAAGGGATGGGGAGAAAAAAAAAAATTGTTTGGAGAAAGTGTCATGTACAAGGTATTGACTATATATTGTGAATTTGATTAAGTGAGTTTTGATATTGGTATGATTATGAGTTTACTTTTTTACGGTTTTGCTATGAAGCCAACAGTTGGCTCCATAGTGGAGCCAACCTTCTATATACATCAAGTAAACTTACCATATTGATAAAATTATATTAGTGTATCACAAGAGAAATGCATGATTCTTGCACTTCAATGTTCAAAATAGATAATGAAAAAGAAGGGAAAAAAAAAGGAAAACAAAACAAAGTAATTCTTGTATGGGCTGTCACATGCTCTATACTTTACCTATATCTATGAAAGGACAAAGGAGATAATTAAGGGGGAAAGTATAAAACATCATGGGGTGGTAAAGGGACTTAAAAAAATAAAGGTGTATGAAGCAAAGTTGTTGCAAAGGGAATAAGTTCAAAAGAGGGTGTTGAGAAAGATCATATCAAAACATTCAAGATTGGTCTATTTATTCTCTTATTAAGAAACTTACATTCTTTGTTTAATTTAAATATGACAAGTCACTTTTTGAAACGTCTAGAGGTTATCGTGTCATGTCTTGTCGTGTCTGCGTTGTTCGATGTTGAATTGCAAAATTGACGAGTTCTTGTGCATTTGTCTGAAAAGGAGTTGTGTTCAAAATGTTTTTCGAGGGAATTATATGTATTTTTTGCTTAATTAAGCTATCGTATATGTGAGAAAAACTTCATAGTGTTTTCATATTAATGTACATTTTTTTAAAAATCAATAAGGTTGTTGTTAGACATACCTTATAACGAGAGGATCTTTTTTCAGCATGCATACATCTTTCGAATTGGAATGTCATAATTAAAAAAAAAAAAGCATTAGCAAAAATACAAATAGTTGTTTGAGTCGATCTAATTGTTAATCAGGTCAATCTGTCATGTTATGTGAACAAAACGGTATACTTATACAGTTATATTATATCAAATGTCATATTTAATTTTATCTATAGTTGTTTTCTGCAGTATGACATTTTCAAATAAAAGTATGAATAGAAAAAAGTATGTCAGTCTAATTATTATTCAGACCTAACGAAACAAAAATATGACATTTCAAAGTACAAGTGTTATTTTTTTGTTAAACAAACGTACGACGATTGGTTCTGTCCAACTATTAGCCTTAACTCGTACAAAAATTTGTAGAAAAACATAAAAAAAATAAATAAAATAACAAAAAATTGCATGAGTAATGAGCTAAATAAATGAATGCTTTCACTTTTGAATATTTTCTAATATGTGTGTGTGTGTGTGTGTATGTGTGTGCGTGTGTGTGTGTGTGTGTGTGTGTGTGTGTGTGTGTGTGTGTGTGAAGTTGTTATATTAGAAGTAAAAAAAAAGGAGGAGACAGTGAAGTGCAGGGCAGAGATATGGTCAAAGAAATGTCAAATTATTACACCATCATTACACTATCATTCATCCTGGGCACGTGAAACCACGCCACACGTGGCATGATCCAGACGGCTCCACTCGTGGATGGAATGTGAACCGTACGATCTGAAGTGGGGTCTACTGCTTGGGACAATGACTTCTGAGTGTGACTTGGCTTTATGAAAAATTTTCAGTATTATTGAAATAGTCGAGGCACTTTTTGCATGAAAAAAGTTGAGCTCCAAAATTTAAATGGCCCTACATACATAGATATGGAATTTTTTTTCTTTTTTCAATTTGGATATTATATTTTATTTAATATTTTTGTACCCAAGTGCTTTTCAGTCACAATTTAAAGAATGTAATTAAGCGTATAAAAATATTTTTTGATAATAATTAACTAATAGAGAAATTATTATAGAATTATTATTCGTAAAAATTGCATCGGCTCCTTCTCCAGCAGTCGCCACCTAGTTATCGTCACGAAGGATTTGAAAAGTCGCATATCAATTCAAAGCTCTAAATCAAATGTGACCAACGTAACGTTTATTTCATCGTACAATATAATCAAAATTGTTGTTGTTATGTTGTTTAACTATTAGACAACCACACTTTCTAACCGGAAATACACATATATAAATATTACATAGTATCAAGTTCATGGTACCAATTTCAATTACAAATATTAAATTTCGAGTAATAGTATTCGGATAATGATACGCATTATGATTCTAACGAATTAAACATATACCAAAGAACAAAATTTTCCAGACAAAATTGTGAGATGTAACATTCAAGATTTTTTTTTTTCGAAACGATAGGGGAATTATTATAAATCAAAACACACAAAGTGCAAATAAAAGTACAAAGCTCCTAACGGGAGAATAAAATGGGAAGACATGTCTGACGACCGCTAGAATGTTACATTCAAGATTCAAGATGAAGATCTTGGGCTACAAACGCCTGCCTCCAAATACTTGGGCCATAATACTCTGAATACAGGCCCATGATAATTAAGTTTGTGCATTTCACTATTCTTGTAGTGCATTCATTTATAATCAATGCAGATAACAATATATTAATTCATTTATAATCAATGCAGATAACAATATATTAATTTTAAATTAAACATTTGTATTTTTTTTTTTTTTTT